CTCATATCCCCCTCTCATGTCCCCACGGCCCCCTTATGTCCCCACAGCCCCCTCATGTCCCCACAGGCCTCTCACCGGTTGTTGATCTTGTTCTTCTCTACTTGTTCACTCTGGCGCTGGTTCCACTCCTCCAGGTCTTTCTTGGCCTTCTCTCGCCATTCCTGTTCTGTCACCTTAGACGCAGCATCTAGGACCCCACAGAAGAATGAGCGGCTGCTTTCCAGCTGGGATGCACAGGCCTGGCCACCCCGGCTGCTCCTCCCCTGGCCCCTGCCAGGCAGCCTCAGGGCCACACCGGCCCAGTCCCACATTAAGGCATGCAGGGTTCCATGCACTCCGAGGACTCCCCACACATTCCACCCCACACACAGCCCACCCAGCCAACCCCGGCTCAGCCCCGCCCTCACCCAGCTCTTGCAGCCGTTTCCTCTGCTCCTCTCGCCACTTGCGGATGCTCTCAGGCTCCTGGGTCAGCCTGTCAGCCTGGGCAATGGCTGCGTAGCCATCGGCAGGACCGTTGGCCTCCTACAACACAAACGCGCAGCAGTCTATCCAGCCAGCACACCTGCCCCACTGCCTCTGCTGCCCCTGCTGGGGACTCGCTCATGTCTGGATAACTCGACCTCAAACCACCTCATACCCACCGTCTCCGGTGACTACACCTATCTTTGCACTTGCTGTTCCCTCTGCCAGCAACACTCCACCACCTGTGTGACTGCAGGCAACTTACTCACCCTCTCTGTGCCTGATCATTGCCTTCGGCCCAGTCATAGGTTTTGATACCCCCCAAGCAGGAGACTCAAGAAAGCGTGTGCCAGCCACTTTCTTTGTCATAAAATGGGCTAAATAACAGTATGCACCCTGATGGGAGGACATAAGGATGAAATGAGTTAAAAATTATAAAGAACACTGGGTGGGTGGCTCACACCTGTAATCCCCGCACTTTGGGAGGCCGAGGCGGGCGAATCACCTGAGCCTGGGAGTTCAAGACCAGCCTGACCAAAATGGAGAAACCCTGACTCTACTAAAAATACAAAAAATTAGCCGGGCGTGGTGGTGCATGCCTGTAATCCCAGTTACTCCAGAGGCTGAGGCAGGAGAATCACTTGAACCTGGGAGGCGGAGGTTGCAGTGAGCCAAGATCGCACCATTGCACTCCAGCCTGGGCAACAAGAGCAAAACTCCGTCTCAAAAAATAAATAAATAAAAATAAAATATAAAAATACTGCTTGGCACAGTGAGTCCCTTATGTTACTGTCATTAAAATCTCTATTGTGGTTGTATCAACTCCTAACACTTAGTCCAAAAAGACCTCACTTTTTTTTTTTTTTTTTTGAGATGACATGTCCCTGTTTCCCAGGCTGGAGTGCAGTGGCGCAATCTTGGTTCACTGCAACCTCTGCCTTCCAGGTTCAAGCGATTCTCCTGCCTCAGCCTCCTGAGTAGCTGGGATTACAGGCGCCCATCACAATGGCTGGCTAAGTTTTTGTAGTTTTAGTAGAGATGGAGTTTCTCCATGTTGGTCAGGCTGATCTCGAACTCCTGACCTCAAGTGATCCACCGGCCTTGGCCTCCCCAAGTGCTGGGATTACAGGCTTGAGCCACCATGCCCAGCCCAAAAGGACCTTACTTTATAATGTGTTTGTCTGTCTCTGCCATCAGGATGTCATCTCTGTCCTTTTCACTGCTGTGTCCCCAGAGCCCAGCACAGTGCCTGGCCCAGCAGATGCTCAGTAGATGTTTGTTGAGTAGAGAAGAATCCCTGAGATATGCAGCATGATCATAGCTCAGATCACACCATGGGGAAGAACTTGGACTCTGCAGCCTGGCTTTCTCGGTTCAGATGCCACCCCTCATACTATGAAATGTTTGTAAGGCCTGGGAGAAATTGCTTAACCTTGCCTGACTTTTGTTTTCTCATTTGAAAAATGGGGCTGGACATGGTAGCTCATGCCTATAATCCCAGCACTTCGGGAGGCTGAGGCAGGAGGATTGCTTGAGGCCAGGAGTTTAATACCAACCTGGGCAATACAGCAAGACCCTGTCACTATTTTCAAAAAAATTTTTTTAATTACAGAAAAAAAAGGCCAGGCACAGTGGCTCATGCGTATAATTCCAGCACTTTGGGAGGCCAAAGCAGGTGGATCACTTGAGGCCAGGAGTTTTTGAGACCAGCCTGACCAACATGGCGAAACACCGTCTCTACTAAAAATATGAAAAATTAGCTAGGTGTGGTGGTTGCTTAGGAGGCTGGGACTTGGGAGAATCGCTTGAGCCTGGGAGGCGGAGGTTGCAGTGAGCGGAGATCATGCCACTGCACTCCAGCCCGGTCCAGAGTGAGACTCAGTCTCAAAAAAAATAATAATAAAATAAATAAAATTTTTTTAAAAAAAGGAAAGAAAAATGAGAGTAGACCAGGCGCGGTGACTCACGCCTGTAATCCCAGCACTTTGGGAGGCCAAGGCAGGTGCATCACATGAGGTCAGGAGTTAGAGACCAGCCTGACCAACATGGTGAAACCCCATCTCTACTAAAAACACAAAATTAGCTAGGCATGGTGGCCCGCGCCTGTAGTCCCAGCTACTTGGGAGGCTGAGGCACAAGAATCACTTGAATCCAGGGGTGGGGGAGGTTGCAGTGAGCCGAGATCACACCACTGCACTCCAGCCTGTGCAATAAAAGTAAGACTCTGTCTCGAAAAAAAAAAAAAAGGAATAATATTAAGAACACCCCTAAGAGCTGTTGTGATTTCATTAATATTTGTGCAACATTTAGAAGAGTGTTTGGTGTGGAGTGCTGGCTCAGTGAATAGTAGCCAGAATTACTACTATTATTATTCCCATTTTACAGGGGAGGAAACTGAGGCTCAAAGACATGGGACAATGTAGTGGCAGAGCCAGGGCTAGAGTCCCTGACTCCCAGGCAAGGGCTCTGCTCACGTCTCCCCACCCCCCTTGCCAGAGCTGGGGACCCAAAGCGCTGAGGACTGTGAGCTCTGCTCACAAGGGTGTGGCACCCTCTGGTCTGGCAAAGCCTTTCCAATCCAGGTCCAGCCACACCCGCTCTGGCACCCGGGCCCTCCGCATTCCTGTCTGCAGGCATTCCACTCCAGCCGCCCCGCCTTTGTCTCCTGGGGCTTCTGGCCTGCAATAGTCTCCCCTCCCTCCTCCTTCAAGCAGTTATCAAAACTGCCATGACTGCCCGTGTTGTTTGACATCTTCTCCCCACAGGAGTGTCTGGCACACCCTCTGTCCTATGGCGCCCACCTATCCTCAGTGCCTGAATGAGCAAAGATCCCGGAGCCAGCAGGCGCCTGGTTCCAGGAGGAGCTCTGGGAGAGGGAACACAGATGGCACATCAGGGCTTCGGTCTCCAGCTGTCTGGGGAGTGCAGGAAGGGCAGGCCCAGGACAGGGGTGCAGCCTGGCTCCTGGGATCATCAGGGCAGCTGGGTGCCACCCTTACTCCTCTTCCAGCACAGCACTGCATTTCAATTCAGAGACTCTCTCCCAACCTCCCAGTGGGCCCTTCTGGGACCTGTACCGGGAGAACACAAGTTCACCGCTGCTCCTTTCTGGGGACAACGCTGCTCTGAGGCCAGGCTACACGGACTCCTCCCAGCACCGCTGCCCAAACCTACAGAGCCTTCCATCTGCAGACAACTGCACTGTCACTTTGTGTATATGGGTTTACCCAGGGGCCGTTTTCTTTTCTTCCCAACACTTACCTCTATCTAAAATGACTTGAGAGGTCAGAGAAGTTGGAAATAAAAATAAAAATACAATGAAGGCAGCCATCTGACCACCACCCAATCCCCACTCCTCGAGCAAACATGTACTGAGCCCTTTCTCTGCGCCAGCCCACGTGGGTGTTCAGGAATCCCGAACGCCACTTGACTTTTCATTCCCCAAACTTGCCCCCACCCTCCGTCTGAGAAAAAGGCACCACAGTGCCCTTGTGGGGGAGGAGGAAGGGAAGAGAGGGTCATATCTGAGCGTTGTCTTTAGGGTGGCATCCACATGGCATCGAGACCTCAGCCTTTAGGTCTATGAGAAGGGGCAGTGGGGGCTGCCTCCTCCAATCGCCACTCACCCACTCGCCTTGTGCCGCACAGCATTTTTACAAAACCTCCTTTGCTTTCTTGGATTTTTTGTTCCAGATGTTAAAATGAAAGCTTAGGGACAGTGAACAATTTCCCAAGGGTACTAAGGCCCCAGCCTCATGTTCGTCCTTGATTTCTCCTTCCTTCCCATGCCCTGAGCAAGTCATCAGCAGGGCCTGTCATCACAATCTCTAAAACTCTCGTCCGGCCCTCACCACCCCTGGCCTGGACCACAGATGGTCTCTGCTTCCTGCAGCCTCATCTCCACAAAATGCCTGAATGACCTGTTCAGAGCCTAAATCCGATTTATCATGTCACACTTTAAAAGATCCAAAGGCAGTCGCACATGGTGGCTGGCGCCTATAATCCTAGTACTTTCGGAGGCTGAGGCAGGCAGACTGCTTGAGCTCAGGAGTTCAAGACCACCCCGGGCAATGTGGTAAAACCCCATCTCTACTAAAATGCAAAAATTAGCCAGATGTGGTGGCAGGCGCCTGTAATCCCAGCTACTCAGGAGGCTGAGGCAGGAGAATTGCTTGAACCCGGGGGATGGAGGTTGCAGTGAGCCAAGATCGTGCCACTGCACTCCAGCCTAGGTGACACAGTGAGACTCTCTCAAAAAACAAATAAATAAAACTAAAATAAAAATAAATTAATTAAAACATGTGAAGGCTCCCTACTATGGCTAGAACAAAATTCAAGTCATCTGGTCTCTCCCTGGGCCTCTGATTTCTGTCCTCTATCTGTGCACTCTTGCCACACTGGCCTTCATGCAAGCTCATCTTGTATCCCCTCAGAGGCTTTGTCTGGAACATTCTTCCCCTAGAATCGAGGGTCTGTATCTTCCTAGGGCTTCCTCTGCCTCCTGATTGAGGCCTTGGCTTGTTTACCTGTTTATTATCTGTGTTTTCCCCCTTCCCTCCCCCAAAAAAGCAAGCAAGCTCCAGGAGGGCAGAGGCTGCCTGTTTCTACACAGCACCCAGCACCGGGATGGCCTGGCTGCAGGAGCCTTTCAAGAATTTTTTTTTTTTT